AATATCCGGGTCATCAAATAAAGATGACCGGGAAAGGTCAAGGGACCCAAATATAATCCGAATCATCAAATAAAGATGTTCGGAAGGTTAAGGCTTTGGCCCGCACCAATTGGGGATTTCAATCCGCTAGCAATGGTGGTGAAGATAATAATAATAGTAGCAATTATTATTATTGTTTTCCTTTTTGATTAGTAGTAAAACTATATTTTTCTTTTTCTCTTTAGAAAGTGGTAAAACTATTTTGCTCCATATTTAATGCATAAAATAGGAGGAAAAGTTGTTGAGACTTACTTGTATTTGGGCCGAAGCCTGCCCTGCTTAGAATTCAAGCAGGGGAATATAAGATTGGGCATGCACTTTAAGAATCCAGCCGTGGAGATTAATAGCTAGTCCATACACTAATAGCCCATTACTTCAATTGAGCTGTTAGCGAGCCTCAGATCATGTTCAATCGCGGCGTTGCTGTGGCGAGGCCGAGGGAAGGAGCGCCTTCGCGGCCGATGGCGTGCCCGCTTGGCCGATGTGCAGTCTTCCTCTTTGTTTGGCCGAAGGGAAACTATGGCTGTCGGTGCGGTCGAAGCTTGGCTGGCCGGAGTGTTCTGGCCGAAGGGTTCTGGCTTATGGTGTGGCCGGCCGGTGCATCACGGATGAAGTGTTGCTGGCCGAAGCGTGCCAGCCGAAGTGTTCCGGCCGAAACATGTTTACTTATATGGCCCGTGCGCTATTGATCTGAGTCAGTCTCTGGCCGAGGAGCTCCTTTAATTGTTTGGCCGAAGAGCACTCTGGCCGATGGGGGCACTCTGATCGTAGGCGCTCTGCATGGACGAGGCGATGCCAGGCTGAGGTGAGACTTCTTGTACTTGTATTTGTGGCAGAGAATTGAAGCCGTCATGCGGCTGCATGCTAGCCGATGGGGTTGCCGGCCGATGAGGTTGCCGGCCAATGTGTGGCTGGCCGACGTGTGACCGGCCGATGCATGGCCGGCTGGCCGATGTGTAACTTCCGAGTCAGGAATTTCTCGAAGGGCTGTTGGACAAGGGTCGCACCAAGTGGACGAAGGGTGCTGTTTGTTTTTTTGGCCGTTATGGCATACCTTTGCTTTCTTTGGGCCGAAGCGTGACATCATGTTGACTTTAGATCTTGTTTTGATTCTGACTGACGTGTCAATTCTTGAGGTTTCCTGGTGCATCATGTGCTATTGGAGTCTCAATGAGGCCGAGGGTGACATTTCGGCCGAGGAGTGCTGCTACCACCAATTAGGCCGAAGTATAGTAAGTTGGGAGGGTCTCACTTGATTTGTTCTAGCTCTCTATGAAAGCACCAAATGATAGACTATTTTAATCTTAGAGAGAAGGAAGAGCTAGAGAGATAAAGTGATATATGTATAATGAATTTCCAATCAACCATCCAATCCTTTACATGGCTCCCATAGGGGGTATTTATAGGAGAAAAGAAGGTTGGGCTTCCAGGCTTGGGCCTGGCTGGCCCAGTTACAATAAAAGGCCAATAAATGGCTAATAAATAGTATCTAATCTATTTTAATGGGTACATATGAATAAATGTAGTGTACAAGGAAATAAATGCTATCTACTGAACATATGTGGGCCGCTGTCCGGGCCGCTGTCTGGGCCCAATAGTCGTGATACCCAGGGTCCGAGTCTATATACTCTATCAATAGGGTTGGTCGAGATTAATGATAGGTGGGAGAGAGGACACTCACTTTTGTCTCAAATGACAAATAAGAGAGGGTGAGGGGTCCTCCTTGGTACTATAGATGCCAAATGATCCTCCTTCACATATCCTTTGGTCATTCCAGCCCCAATGGGTCTTGTTGAGCACACAAAAACGTGGGGTAGCCCCCACTCATGTGGGAGGTCATCCCTTTGTGTCCCGATGTGTACAATCGGTCCTGAAAGTTGTATTTTTCGGACTGTTTTAATCATAATTTATTTTATCGGGTAAAATAAAATATATTATGTGTTCCCAATCATAACGCCCCTTTGAAATAATATATATTCCAAAACTTTAATTTGGAAGTCTCCGAAATTCATTTCTGGGCTGCTATTCGTTGAATTGTCGGTATCGGTAATTGGGCCTCTTTTTCCCAATCGGTCAACTCTGCGCCTTTCCACGACCCAAATAAAATATCCACCACCATATAAATATTATCTTGACCAAGATGAATAAAATATGTGGTCTCGGGAGTGTCGGGCGGCCCCCGCTCCCGGTGTGAGTCCCACGTGAAATTTACTATTCACGCGAACGAAATAATAAAAATTTACAACTTCGTAAATTCATAAATCCTTTAATAAGGTTCAATACATTATTTACATAAAAGTGAATATATTTGGGGACGGTGTTACAACATATAAAGTCATACTCTGTACTACATTTCCAATTTTAAGTCATACTCCGTACTACATTTCCAATTTTAAGTCATACTCAATGTTCTAAAAGGCGTGAGGCGTGCCGAGGCGGCACCGTCAAGCCTTAAGCCTTTGAAGCCTAGGCGGGCTTAGGCGGGGCTTAGGCGTGAAAAGGCGTTTTGATTTTTTATCCCTTATTTTAATATTCGTAAAACTATTTTTAAATATTTATTTTAAAAAATAGACAATGTCATTACGAGACATCAGATTTTCCCGGTTTTCACCATAAAGGGTTTGTCAAATCCTATGTCTAACAAATACGGAGTATAAATTTACCAATCACACAAAAAATTGATCTTAAAAAGTAATAAATATAACAAAACATGTACTATAATATGTGAAAAAATACTGCAAAAGGAGCTATTAGTAAATATTCGCTTGTAATATAGAATATACCATGTAAAAGCATTAGACTTTTTACATTTTCGGACAATACAGTTTTAAAATCGTGTCAATGACTCATAATATATGCATCTACTATACAAGTAAGAAATTATAAAATATGACATTCATAGTGATAATACTAATAACAATAATGATCATATTATTTTAACAAACAAGCTAAGAGTAAAAATAGTAATATAACAATAATATTTTAATAATTATTATTCAAGAATAAAGTGATTTGAACTAAATATTATAGTTATATTAGCAATATAATAGACGTAGGTGTAAAATCAAAACAAAGAATATAGAATGTAAGCGAGCAGAATAGCAGATGCGTACAACCTAGTACTATCCTAATGTTCCCACACCGGAAAAGTGGAGACAATTCTTCCTCTTGCCTGCCTATATATTAAAGTCATTCATCTGAGCTGAATTTTGCCAAAGAGTTAAGCTGCTACGTGGTGCACGTGGATTAAACATGGTCTAACAAGCATCTAGTTAAAAAGTTTTCGGCACTTAAATGGCTTAATACGCCTTGGAGCACGCCTTATTGGTGAGCGGGGCGTTTGCTCTGCGCCTTGGGCATAGGCGCGCCTTAGCGCCGCCTAATAAAGCCTTTTAGAACACTGGTCATACTCCGTACTATATTTCCAATTTTAAGCCTTTGATGTCATTTAGGGAGTGTTTGCAACTGCTTAAAAAAAAGCACTTCTCAGCTTTTGGCTTTAAAAAGCACTTATTTACCAAACACTACCAATTTTTACTTTTTCTCGGCTTGCGTGTGAAAAGTGCTTTTCCCTTTTCTATTACACAAAAAACACTTATTTTACCAAACACTACCAACTTTTACTTTTCAAAATCACTTTTTTCTCAAACACTATCAACTTTTACTACTAATCACTTTTTCATTACTTCTCCAAAAGTGCTTTCTTTTAAGCAGAAGCAGTTGCAAACACTCCCTTAGTGTAACACCCCGCCATGATGACCCGGTAATGGTAAGCTCTGAAATGACTTGGTCAATAAATTGGCCTTGATCCAATTTAATGTCACGATACCCAATGCTTCAAAATGTTTAAATTGGTTACCCAGTACTTACTATCAATAATGCATTTATAAAAACAGATTCATTATTTGGGAAAAAATATCATTTATAAACACTAACCTAGTGAATTAAATGATAAAAAAAATATTATAAAAAAACGCATAATATATTTTATTGAAAGAATTTATGAATTTATGAATTTCTGAGTTTTGTGTCATTGTATAAACCATTTTCCAGGATTGCTAGAGTATACTTAATATAATGATGAATTTTAATTTATTTTCCACCACACACAAACAAATCCAAAATATAGTCCACAACCGGCGGTCCACCGACACAGAGCCGCGTAACACCCCGCCATGATGACCCGGTAACGGTAAGCTCTGAAACGCTCTAATACACACAACAAAGCCATTAATCATTATTTTTATTATAAACAACCTAATTCGATTTTGGTATGAACCGCAACACCCAAAACCAACAGATCTGGAGATCTGTGTCCGAACACATGGGTTTGACATTTCTTCGAACTTGTTTTCTTTTATTTGGTTTTGAATGTATTAAGTTATATTTTTGAATAATATATACTCCGTAAGAAATTACGGAAGTAACTGTCAGTGTGAATCTGGAAAGCATCTTAGTGGAGGAGTTGAACAACCGTTGTTAACATGCACTAAAACGTGTTTACAGCCTTGAAATTTCCGGATATCATATGAACACACATACACATTTCGAAGTTATATTTTGTAAAATGAAGTGCATGAATATATTTTTGCAAATTTATTCACTTTCATTTCATTTTAAATATTATTAAATGGATTTAAATACATAAAGTTATATTTTGTGCATTTATTTTATATCTTAATTCGAGGAAATTATACAAAACTATAATTTTAGTAATTTTATATACCTAAATGGATCTGAAGGTGTTCTGTAATGTCATTCACAATTCTCAAAAACAGCAATTTAATTTAGGTTAATAATACAGAGTTGATAGCCGTTATATTTACTTGTGTTTACCATAAGTATTTATAAGTATTTGTTGAAGAAAAGAAGAGAAAACGGGCAAATATCTCCAGAATACGAGCTAGAGCAATAATCATTGCGATGAACGACTTTTTGGACCAAAAGGATGACGTTCTGCCTATAAATTGAGTATAACTTATTGTAGAGAACTCGAAATCGCTCGATTCAAATTTCATGTGAATGTTAACTCAATAAGGTACAAATTGTATGAAGACGTCATGGCCAAAATATGTCACGCCCCGGACCTCCCCGGACACGTCAACAACCCGCCGTACAATACGAATAGTCAACCGCAGTCCAACACATTCATATTATACAAGGCGTCTCGAATATCATTCACACGTAAGCCATCCATAAACAAACATAATAAGTAATTCATAATGCAGCGGAAAACATTGTTGAAAACAAAAAGGCCACACCGGGCTATTCATGAGCACGCAGGCTCCATAGTAAAATATCCATGAGCATGTTTATTAATGTTTAAAATCCGAATGGAGGAGGCACGAACCGAGTCTTCGCTCCTAGATGATCTCTCGAGCAACGAGCACAGGAAGCAAGCTCTAGCCTCAACCTGAAAAATGGTGGTGTGACGCCCCCGAAGGGGTCAGCACTCTATAGGGCTATAAAGTGCTCGTGTGGATGGCATCTAATAGATATACAACAAGTATTTCAAACACAAGACCCTCAAATAGGGTGATAGTATAATCTAGGCCGTAACCCCAAGTTACCCCTTTTTAAAAAATATACTTACTTTATATATAAAGTCAAGTAGTCGGCCCGTAGGCCCAAGGTTTGTTTATCAAACATACCCCAAAATCCCGTGACCCCTAGTCACAACAATACATAGGGTTCAACCCTAACACATATGTTTGCATTCTCGAGTCCAACTCGACTACATCACCATGCACCTTAATTAACATAAGCTAACTACTCCACCATGCATTTCTTGAGTCCAACTCAACTACATCACCATGCACAACAATCACCTCATCATGTCTACCTAATGCAATTCTATGAGCACGGGCTCAAGTACATCTCCTTACATTGGCATAGACCCCAATTCCTAAGCACTCACTATGCCTAGAATTGTAATATCAAGAATCTATTTTGGGACATCCCTACGGACTGCCCAACCATGGTCTTAGCATCACATTACATCAAATTTGTCACTTGCATCACAATCAAGTACATCAATTATAATCAAATCCTTAGATTCAATTCCCTTAACAATTACAACAATCATTAACTAGTATTTCAATACTATTAAGATTATTCTTATCCATCATATATTCCATTTGTAAAACCCTACATATTTAGAGATATGTAGTAGCAACTTAATCATTCAATGTAATACATAAATAATTATTTATGTATCTACACAATTCACACATGAGTAAAATGCCTATTTCACACAATAGTTCATTTAACTCCATTTTTATCAATACTTTACCAAATCATTCTCCATTTCATTCTTTGGAAAATATATCAATATTCCATCAATAAATTATCATCATAATCCATGGAAAACATTATTTAGGCATTTAGGTAATCTTATGCTTAACCTACAAGTTGTAAGCAACTAGATGTCGATCCTCACCTTAATTGAGCTTTAAACTTTTCCTTCTTGATCCAATGGTCAAAGCTTTGGCCACGGTGGATTAAGAACTGATTCCTTGCTTAAATATGAGTGTTAAACCGCCTCCTCAAAGTGCTAGCTCAACCCTCAAACATTGATACGAAAACAGCCCCTAGAATGGGTGTTTTCCGGTTAACTCGTCTCCTAGTTTTCCAAGATTTACTCTAGGTTAGTATCTAACCTTTACATCAATAAAATAACTTTACAAGGACATATTATAAACTTGGATTAGTTTACAATAGTTCCACCAATCGTTCATATCATTTGGAAAATGAAAGGAAAGGTTTTGGGGTTAACAACTCACTTTAGAAGAGTAGATCCATTTCTGCGAGGTTGTGTTTTGCTCGGACGATTTGGAAGCCTTCCACTACTTCGATTGATGCAAACCAGACCTTCACGGATTCCTCGTCTTGCGAGCTTTCTTTTGGTATCTCACACGCCTTAATTGGATTGGTATAACTCGAGATATCCACCAAACAGATTCAGTACTCTCAGAGCTCGAGTTTACAGATCACTGCTCGCTCCAGATCGATTTTTGGATGATTACTCTCTCCTCTCGAACAGAGACCACTCAATTATGAAAATAGACTTCAAAGGCTATCCAAGGACACCTTATACACGTTGTTTGGTCGAGTATAACTCCCATAATGAGTGGAGACAAACAGCACACCATTTTGTGCGAAAAATGGAGATGGTGGCCCAACATTTGATTCCTATCAAGTCTTGTGCAGCTCCTCTCCATCAGGGGCGGATCTATTGTGTAGCTAATGGGGGCACATGCCCCCAATAAAACTTTGCTAATAGGAAAAAGTATAGAGAAAATTTGAATATTTTTAGTAGTCAGAGTAATTGCCCCAATAAATTATTACTTTTGCCCCCAATAATTTTTTCTAGTCCAAGATAGAACATAAATATATATATACATGGTTATGATTAATTAAGTTTATCACTTGGAATTAACTAAGTGTAATGGAAATAAAATAATCTTAATTAATTATAATCAAATAAATTTAAAGTCACAACAATTTGTTAAATGTGCGACAATTGCTCATCGCATTAAAACAAAGAAAACATCACTCATTACTCAATTTTATATATCTTTTTGTTCAACTATAGCAATAAATATGTAAATCAATCTCTTACTCCGATCCCTAATATTTTCTTGCTTCGTCAAATTTGTAGTCATATCATGCTTAAGATATGATTAAAATAAAATTTGAAATGATAATTAAAAAGAGAGAAGTACAAGTAGAAATTATTCAACATAGAACGCATAGTGAAACATTTATAGAAAGAATAACACATGTTATTCTAAAGTGGAAATTTTAATAATAAAAAAACCGGAAAAATGTACTTTAGGTAATTTTAAATCATTCTTACGTTCCGTTATGGCCGAGAGTTCTAAAGGATTATGCCCCCAACACTAATTTTTCCTGGATCCGCCACTGCCCTCCATGGTGGTCGGCCAAAGTAAGTCTTCTCACCCATTTTTATTTGTATTGCAGGTACTAATATCATGTGGAGTGGTTCCCCATTGATCCCAATTATTTTGGGGTCCAAAATATCTATCAATACTTCCAAAAATGGGAAAGATGGGTTCTATTGTTTTATCTTTTGTCAAAGATGTCTTTTTGTACTCATCCTAACTTATTTAGAACAAGTCAACTTCCTACATCACATTATTGATCTCTAATATGTGTAGGCTCATCTAAAAAATTTACTTAATGGATATTATAGAAGAAAAATCATACTCCCACTATTTAGCTCAATAATGTCATAGGTGGGACTATAGGCATTCGTATGCTTCCCTAGTCATTCTATCCCTTATTTTGACATTGCCATTCATATTATTGGGCTATAATCCGTGTGGGTCACTCCCGATTGGGTCTAGGATGCCATTCTCGAATACTTGCTATTTTTAGTAGGCTGGGCTCAAAATAACGTTTGGGCCGTCCGACCTTCTTCAAATTGTCTTGAAAGATTATGTATCACTATTTAGATGATGTTGGGCTCTTTTATTTATTAATAAGTCCCAAATAGTATTTTCATGCCCGACACTAATATACGAGTTCGAACAGTACAATAATCGATCATTAATTACGTAAAACATTAATCGTTTTACAATCGTTTGGGAATCAGAAATCCAATACATAAACTTTGAATTTTTACTTTGAATTTTCAAGGACGTTCGGGTGCGGTGTCACTAGTTCACCCCCCCCCCCCCCCCCCCTAACAGGAATTTCGTCCCCGAAATTCACAGCTCTACTCGAATAGGAAAGCATACTGTTTCCTCATCAAGGCCTCTGTTTCCCATGTCTCTTCTTCGACCCGATCGCTCTTCCAAAGGACTTTAACCATTGGGACTTCTTTGCTCCTCTGTTTCTTCACCTTCCTATCGGTGACCTTGATCAGTTGCACAGCGTAGTTCAAATCCTCACGTACTTCTACAGGCGGCTTTTCCAATACGTGAGAGGGATCATGCACATACTTCTTAAGCATGGATATATGAAACACATTATGTATCTTCTCTAACTCCGTAGTCAGCTGTAGACGATATGCTACGGGCCCAATCCTCTCTATAATTCTGAATGGGCCTATATATCGTGGGTTAAGCTTTCCTCGAGTTTGGAATCGAATGATTCCTTTCCAAGGGGAAACTTTCAAGAATACCTCGTCATCAACCTTAAACTCTAAGGTTCTTCGACGCTTATCTGCATAACTCTTTTGTCTATCCTGAGCCGCTTTGAGTCTCTCTCGAATCAATTTCACCTTTGATTTGGTGACCTCAACCAACTCAGTACCCTCGAGTTTGGCCATGCCAACCTCGTCCCAGCATAACGGTGTACGGCACCTCCTCCCATACAATGCCTCGTATGGAGGCATACCGATGCTTGCCTGATAACTGTTGTTATAGGCAAATTCCACAAGTGCTAAGTGGTTGTCCCAACTTCCTTGGAACTCCAATGCACAAGCCCTCAGCATGTCTTCTAAGATTTGTATGACTCTTTCAGACTGTCCATCCGTCTGTGGGTGGAAAGCAGTACTGAACTTCAACCTCGTTCCCATAGACTCCTGAAATTTCGGCCAAAAACGTGATGTGAATCGTGGGTCTCTATCGGATACAATGGTCACTGGAACCCCATGTAGCCTCACGATTTCATCCGTGTACAATTTGGCTAACCTCTCAAGTGGGTAAGTAGTGTTGATAGGTAAGAAGTGTGCACTCTTCGTGAGCCTATCTACCACAACCCAAACTGCATCATAGTTCCTGATTGTCCGTGGTAAACCTACCACAAAATCCATAGTCACGTGTTCCCACTTCCATTTAGGAATGGAAAGTGGTTGCAATAAGCCTGCTGGATGCTGATGTTCCGCCTTAACTTGTTGACAAGTAAGGCATCGACCAATGTATTCGGCTATTTCCCTCTTCATTCCAGACCACCAGTAACTTTCTTTCAAATCTCGGTACATTTTCGTGCCCCCTGGGTGCATGGCATAAGCCGATGAATGAGCCTCCTCTAAGATGGACTTACGGAGCTCCTCATCAGACGGTACACACACTCGGTCACGAAATAACAAGAGACCATCATCTCTTTCCCTGAAATCCTCCACCGGTCCCGCTTGCATGCGTTCCCGGACCTTAATAAGTTCTGCGTCAGTCACTTGACCCTTCTTGATCTCATCAAGTAAGGTCGGTCTCACTTCGAATCGTGCCAATAAGGCACCGTCGCTAGATACATCCAATTGGGCCCTCAGTGCCCTCAAACTAGTCAACAGTGCCCCAGACGAACTCTTCCGACTGAGGGCATCTGCTACAACGTTTACCTTACCTGGATAGTACTCAATATCTAGATGGTAGTCCTTTATCAACTCCATCCACCGTCTCTGTCTCATGTTTAACTCTTTCTGAGTAAACACGTACTTCAAGCTCTTATGATCAGTATATATGTGACATGTCTCTCCGTAGAGATAATGTCTCCAAATCTTCAGTGCAAACACTACTGCTCCCAGCTCCAGATCATGGGTAGGGTAATTTACCTCATGCTTCTTCAACTGTCGTGAAGCATAGGCAATTACTCTCCCCTCCTGCATCAACACACACCCAAACCCTTGGATGCTCGCGTCACTATAGACATCGTACCCCATACCCTGTTTGGGTAATGCAAGTACCGGTGCCTCGGTCAATCTCTTCTTCAGTTCGATGAATCCTTTCTCACATTTGTCATCCCATATAAACATAGCTCCCTTTCGAGTGAGCTTCGTCAACGGCGACGCCAAAACAGAGAACTTTTCCACGAACTTCCTGTAGTAGCCTGCCAATCCAAGGAAACTACGAATTTCCTTGACATTCTTTGGTCTCTCCCATTCGGTAATGGCCTCTATCTTCTTGTTATCAACAGCAATTCCCGATCCTGAAACCACGTGCCCGAGAAAGCCAATCTCCTTTAGCCAAAATTCACACTTAGAAAATTTGGCATAGAGTTGCTTCTCCCGTAGTGTCTCAAGAACGAGTATCAAGTGCTCTTCATGCTCTTCCTCACTCTTTGAGTAAATCAAGATGTCATCTATGAACACAATCACGAATCGATCCAAGTATTTATGGAATACTCGGTTCATCAAGTCCATGAATGCCGCTGGGGCGTTTGTTAACCCAAACGACATAACAAGGAACTCAAAATGCCCATACCTTGTGCGGAAAGCACTCTTTGGTATGTCGTCTTCCTTAATCTTCAATTGATGGTACCCCGACCTCAAGTCAATCATCAAAAACACAGTTGCTCCTCGTAGTTGATCAAACAAGTCATCAATCCTAGGCAAAGGATACCTATTCTTGATTGTGACCTTGTTCAGTTGACGATAGTCAATGCACATTCGAAGTGTCCCATCTTTCTTTTTCACAAAAAGAACCGGTGCTCCCCACGGGGAGTGGCTTGGTCTAATGAAACCATTATCCAAAAGCTCTTGCAATTGGGTTTTCAACTCGTTAAGTTCAGCGGGTGCCATACGGTATGGCGGTATGGAGATTGGTTTGGTGCCGGGCTCGACCTCGATCACAAATTCGATCTCTCTATCGGGTGGAAGTCCCGGTAAATCTTTTGGAAAGACATCCGGATACTTACAAACCACCCTCACATCGTTGATGTTCGTTTCTTCTTTGGTTTTGTCAACCACGTATACTAGATATGCGTGGCATCCCTTTCTCATCATACTTCTCGCTCTCACGGCGGATATGATACAGCTATTTGATCTCCCTCGATCGCCCTCGAAGCGTAGGGTCTCCCCATCATTGCCTTCGAGTTCAAGAACCTTCGTGTAGCAATCTACCCTAGCATGGTTCCTTTCTAGCCAATCCATCCCTAGGATTGCATCGAATTCGATCATGCTCAGCGGTACGAAGTCACACGTCAAGGTTTGACCATTAACTTCCACCCCACAAGATGGATAGTAACAAGTTCTTTCCACGTCGTCCCCTAGTGGTGTTGATACCACTAAGGTTTGCATCAATGGTGCGGATTGCACTCCCAATCTCTTGGCGAACGCTTCATTCACAAATGAACGTTGCGCCCCGGTATCGATAAGGATTCGCACATCCTTCCCATTAATCTTTAGTGTCCCTACATTCATGAACCATGTAAGACATCTTTCCTACCCTCCCTACACATTTATAGAAGGTTACAATGTTCACACCCACGTTAGGGATCAAGAAAAAGGTCTTAACGTCGCAAAACGGTGCGAAAAATCGCACCTCGGCAATCTGGGTGCCAGGCACGGCGTGCCTGGGGTAGGCACGATCGTGCCTGGCTTGGGAAAAAGTCCAGGACGCCACTGCCTTGGAGACACGATCGTGCCTGCCTTAGGCACGATCGTGCCTGGGTCGGGGAAACGCGTAGGCAGACACTGCCTTGCAGGCACGATCGTGTGTGCCTTAGGCACGACCGTGCCTGGGTCGGGGAAAATCACAGGTATACACTGCCTTGCAGGCACGATCGTGCGTGCCTTAGGCACGACCGTGCCTGGGCGAAAACAGCCCGAAATGGACCGAAATCCTCCCGGTTCGACCCTAAGGCTTCGTGCAATGATCCTAACAATTAGTAACCTTAATTTATGGACAAATTAAGGATAAAACACTAGTATACGAGAGGCAATACCTGCAACGGAATCCGGGTTAGCTTGAGCGTCCGCCTCCGTCATCGCGTAGACCCTAGCCTGGGTCCTCCCTTGGTTCACGGATGGCGCGTTGCTCGCGCTTGCTCCCCCTTGCCCCCTGGTTACTTGGGAACCCCCGGCTTGGTTCCTTGTCCCCGTAGCCCCGCTACTTGGTCCTAATGCCCTCGTTCCGCCCAGTTGTGGGCAACTCATCTTCATGTGTCCGGTGCTCCCGCATTGGTAGCATCTAGGAGGGTCACGACATTTCCCCGGGTGGTTCCTCTTGCAATTCTTGCAACGAGTCACCCCCGAGGCTTGTGATTGCCCGCCCGGGCCTTGACTCCCCCTAGATGGCAGTGGGGGTGTCCGAAATGATCCCCCTCCCCCATGGTTCCCCTTTTTGCTAGGACCTTGAGGTCCAAGGTTCTCCCACTTTCTCTTCTTCGCCTCTTCGGCGTTTTTCAACTTCCTCTCTTCCCATTCTTTCTCTCCTTTTAACCCTTGCTCGACCACTTGGCTAAAGGTCATGTTAGGCAACTGTGTTGCCCTCTCACGCACCTCCAGGTCTAAGGCATCCCAGAAGTGATTTACCATCCGGTTCTCGTCACACACATACTCCGGTATGAACTCCGCGAGCTCCCTGAATTTGTGTTCAAGTTGCCTCACCGTCATTTTGCCCCCTTGGGTCAGGAGGGTATACTCTCTCCTCTTAGCGTTCACCTCAAAATCAGAATAGTATTGGGCAAAGAACTCCTGTCGGAAATTCTCCCAAGTCACAGTATTGCCATACTTTCCCTTGACTCCGTCCCACCATGTGGATGTCATCCCTTCAAGCAATCTCACCGCCACCCTTAGTTTAAATTCGGGGGTGAGTTGCATATCAAGGGCTGCTTCGTTCAACCTCTTGATCCATTCCGCGGCGACCGAGATGTCACCTGCTCCGTTGAAGGGTTTGCACCCCAAGTCTCTAGCCTCTTTAAGAAATTTTGAGATCCTTATGATTGGACCCCCATCACCCCGGCCCCCATGTGGTTCAATGTGGGCCCGAGAATCGCCATGGCTCCTTCCTCTTGAAGCCCCACCCGAAGTTCGCCCTCCCCGGCGCCTTCGGCGTTCCCTCCTTTCCTCGCGCTCCCGCTAATATTGTTGGAGCAGCGCCTCAATTCTTGCTAGGGAGTCATTCTCCCCCTCTTCATCACTTACATCATCGTCATCCCCTTCGTAAGGGGTCTCAACCGGCTTGGTTTCCGGTTTGTAAGTCGAGTCCTCATAGGACCAGTAGGTTTCATCCTCGGTGTCAACATGACCGTCGCTCACAGTGTGCGATCGGCCTCCACGGCTCGCCCCTCTAGACACTCTAGAGGCCCCACGGCTTCCCTACCCGGTTGCCACCGGTGCACGGCCCGTCGGGTTCCTCCTCGTAACCTTGCCACCACCGTCCATTTCTGAAAGAAATTCGGAAAGAGTCGTTAGACTCGTATCAAATGTCAATTGACGGATAGGTACTTAAGACACATTTTGGCTCGAGTCACCGCCATACCAATTGCTAAGGGTACCATCTTAACAATTAGAGACCTTGCAACCCAAGTACCAAAAGCTCTCCAAATACAAAACTTCTATGCTCATGGTTTTCAAAATCTTTTCAAAAAGAGAATTTTGAGACTTCATTATGAAGTTTATGGACTAAGGCTCTGATACCAACTTAATTGTCACGCCCCGGACCTCCCCGGACACGTCAACAACCCGCCGTACAATACAAATAGTCAACCGCAGTCCAACACATTCATATTATACAAGGCGTCTCGAATATCATTCACACGTAAGCCATCCATAAACAAACATAATAAGTAATTCATAATGCAGCGGAAAACATTGTTTAAAACAAAAAGGCCACACCGGACTATTCATGAGCACGCAGGCTCCATAGTAAAATATCCATGAGCATGTTTATTAATGTTTAAAATCCGAATGGAGGAGGCACGAACCGAGTCTTCGCTCCTAGATGATCTCTCGAGCAACGAGCACAGGAAGCAAGCTCTAGCCTCAACCTGAAAAATGGTGGTGGGACGCCCCCGAAGGGGTCAGCACTCTATAGGGCTATAAAGTGCTCGTGTGGATGGCATCTAATAGATATACAACAAGTATTTCAAACACAAGACCCTCAAATAGGGTGATAGTATAATCTAGGCCGTAACCCCAAGTTACCCCTTTTTAAAAAATATACTTACTTTATATATAAAGTCAAGTAGTCGGCCCGTAGGCCCAAGGTTTGTTTATCAAACATACCCCAAAATCCCGTGACCCCTAGTCACAACAATACATAGGGTTCAACCCTAACACATATGTTTGCATTCTCGAGTCCAACTCGACTACATCACCATGCACCTTAATTAACATAAGCTAACTACTCCACCGTGCATTTCTTGAGTCCAACTCAACGACATCACCATGCACAACAATCACCTCATCATGTCTACCTAATGCAATTCTATGAGCACGGGCTCAAGTACATCTCCTTACATTGGCATAGACCCCAATTCCTAAGCACTCACTATGCCTAGAATTGTAATATCAATAATCTATTTTGGGACATCCCTACGGACTGCCCAACCATGGTCTTAGCATCACATTACATCAAATTTGTCACTTGCATCACAATCAAGTACATCAATTATAATCAAATCCTTAGATTCAATTCCCTTAACAATTACAACAATCATTAACTAGTATTTCAATACTGCTAAGATTATTCTTATCCATCATATATTCCATTTGTAAAACCCTACATATTTAGAGATATGTAGTAGCAACTTAATCATTCAATGTAATACATAAATAATTATTTATGTATCTACACAATTCACACATGAGTAAAATGCCTATTTCACACAATAGTTCATTTAACTCCATTTTTATCAATACTTTACCAAATCATTCTCCATTTCATTCTTTGGAAAATAGATCAATATTCCATCAATAAATTATCATCATAATCCATGGAAAACATTATTTAGGCATTTAGGTAATCTTATGCTTAACCTACAAGTTGTAAGCAACTAGATGTCGATCCTCACCTTAATTGAGCTTTAAACTTTTCCTTTTTGATCCAATGGTCAAAGCTTTGGCCACGGTGGATTAAGAACTGATTCCTTGCTTAAATATGAGTGTTAAACCGCCTCCTCAAAGTGCTAGCTCAACCCTCAAACATTGATACGAAAACAGCCCCTAGAATGGGTGTTTTCCGGTTAACTCGTCTCCTAGTTTTCCAAGATTTACTCTAGGTTAGTATCTAACCTTTACATCAATAAAATAACTTTAAAAGGACATATTATACACTTGGATTAGTGTACAATAGTTCCACCAATCGTTCATATCATTTGGAAAATGAAAGGAAAGGTTTTGGGGTTAACAACTCACTTTAGAAGAGTAGATCCATTTCTGCGAGGTTGTGTTTTGCTCGGACGATTTGGAAGCCTTCCACTACTCCGATTGATGCAAACCAGACCTTCACGGATTCCTCGTCTTGAGAGCTGTCTTTTGGTATCTCACACGCCTTAATTGGATTGGTATAACTCGAGATATCCACCAAAGAGATTCAGTACGCTCAGAGCTCGAGTTTACAGACCACTGCTCGCTCCAGATCGATTTTTGGATGATTACTCTCTCCTCTCGAACAGAGACCACTCAATTATGAAAATAGACTTCAAAGGATATCCAAGGACACCTTATACACGTTGTTTGGTCGATTATAACTCCCATAATGAGTGGAGACAAACAGCACACCATTTTGTGCGAAAAATGGAGATGGTGGCCCAACATTTGATTCCTATCAAGTCTTGTGCAGCTCCTCTCCATGGTGGTCGGCCAAGGTAAGTCTTCTCACCCATTTTTATTTGTCTTGCAGGTACTAATATCATGTGGAGTGGTTCCCCATTGATCTCAATTATTTTGGGGTCCAAAATATCTATCAATACTTCCAAAAATGAGAAAGATGGGTTCTATTGTTTTATCTTTTGTCAAAGATGTCTTTTTGTACTCATCCGAACTTATTTAGAACAAGTCAACTTCCTACATCACATTATTGATCTCCAATATGTGTAGGCTCATCTCAAAAATTTACTTAATGGATATTATAGAAGAAAAATCATACTCCCACTATTTAGCTCAATAATGTCATAGGTGGGACTATAGGCATTCGTATGCTTCCCTAGTCATTGTATCCCTTATTTTGACATTGCCATTCATATTATTGGGCTATAAGCCGTGTGGGTCACTCCCGATTGGGTCTAGGATGCCATTCTCGAATACTTGCTATTTTTTGCAGGCTGGGCTCAAAATAACGTTTGGGCCGTCCGACCTTCCTCAAATTGTCTTGAAAGATTATGTATCACTATTTAGATGATGTTGGGCTCTTTTATTTATTAATAAGTCCCAAATAGTATTTGCATGCCCGACACTAATATACGAGTTCGAACAGTACAATAATCGATCATTAATTACGTAAAACATTAATCGTTTTACAATCGTTTGGTAATCAGAAATCCAATACATAAATTTTGAATTTTTACTTTGAATTTTCAAGGACGTTCGGGTGCGGTGTCACAAAATATGAAAGGAACAAGACCCAATCAACCAATAAAGTCAGATGTTGCTGGTGGGATTTCAGGATGCATACCTCTCAGTGTTTTATCCATATCTTTTGATTGGATGAATAAAATCACGTCATTTAAGTTTTGGTGGATAGAAGACTTCATTATCCACATTTTTGGTGAAGGAATCATGTCCAAATTCGTAGCGGAACATCCCTAAAATCTCGGGACAAAAACCGACACTTTATGATCCATGAAGGAGGAAGAGAAAGGGAGTACATCTTTTGGCGCAGGTTTCGAGCAAAATGAGCCTGTTTTGCTCACGACCGGCACCGGTCATGTGCATTTTTCCGAGAAAAATGAGCCTGTTTTGAACCGGCGCCGGTCGGGACATAACCGGCGCCGGTTGGGGTGATTTCTGCACAAAACAGTCTAATGTGCAAGAGGATTTTTGATGGGAAAACTCCATCTTCCTCATTTCTTGATCAAATATTGCTCCATACCTGATTGGTGGGCTCGAATGGACTAAAAGATGTCATTCTTTAGCCTATGTAAAGCCCTCACTTCATCAAACATAAGCATCCCATTCCATAGATTAATTCCTAGCTTTTATATTTTTGTTCTTGGTATTTTCTTCAAGTTCTTGAGGAAGAAACTTCAACCTCCGAAATCATTGGTGTTTAGGTATTATTTCCTTTGTAATTTCATGTTCCATTACCTTTCAATATTGTATTGTGATTAATATGAGCATTAAAGGCTAATTTCTTAGCTAAGGCTAGGGATGAACCTCTATGCACACTAGGTGTTTGATAAAAGTTCTAAACCAATAAATTGTGATTTATCCTTTATATTTTCATTGTTTATGACTATGGTGTACAACATAGAAGTATGTTAAATTTAGTTTATGCTTGCAATTAACGTTGAAGTCTAAACTATGAACATTAAAGGATAAACATATATAGTACCGAGAATAGAAATATATCCGGTCTTATATGATACGGGTGTGATGTCTTGATATTCAACGGGGTTTTCGGTAGATGAATGTAAGCCGTAACGGGACTTACACGTAACGAAAACCACGCTCTCGCTGCCTTAACCGGAGTTGAGAATATATTAGCGACATCGTATTCATAATTATTGGGAAAGAACTAGTATTAAATCCTATTAAAGCATTTAGGTGAATCCCGATTGCCTTAGTAATTCTTATTCTTGTTAAACCAATCTCAAGAGCAAAGTTCCTGAAAAACTATACCATTTATATTCTTTTGCATTCAATACTTGACTTTATAATATCAATCATTTCCCTGTGGATCGACCCGGTATTTAGCGGTATTTTATTACTATATCGACACTTGTATACTTGCAAGTTCAAACCGATCAAGAGTGTATTACGAAAAAGCACCCATTGTTTGAAAAATATATTTTATTTTCATTCACAATTTTAAATGAACGGTTAGTGAAATTTCACGTAAGTAATTACTTTAGGTCAAATTTGAAATCAAAATACAAACTTGTAATGTGTTAGAAAAGCTTGATTATGAAGTTTTGATGAACTCACTTTACAATGCTCCCAGAAAATGTATTTTACTACTTTTTTCTTATATTCTTTTAATTTGAATCTTGGATTCTACTTTGTTTGATTTAACGCATCTAGAGGTATTATCTTTATTTTAAGGTCTTTAAGTATTAAATAGAATTTTTTTTACAATTATATTAAGATTAACTCTATTATAACAAATAGGACTGACCGTGAAACTCAATCTCTATTAACTTTAGCTTGAACGGTGTTCATTCTTCACAACCATGTTAGAGATTTTTCTTATTAACGGTTTACCAATTATATATGTATTTTTTATTATAACAAATACTTGAAGTATATTATACCACATAGGAAGTACCTATATCTTGTGTGAGTAACATAGTAGATGATGTTATTGAAATTATTTTGATCATAAATTCATAGTAGTGCATATTTTTTTTCATTAGAAAGTTCTTGACATCAGGAAGTTCCTTAACATACATGGTATTCCACAAACAAATACGGAGTACTCCTCAAAGTTTTTAATTTTTTGCGATATGCATGAGCAGGAATCTTTGTTCTCTGTACCCAACAAAATCAGTGGTTAAAAACATGGGGAAAAGTTATAAGTTATAAATAAGTGAGTGAATGTTACAGTAAATTAACACTCCAAATACAAAAAAAAATAAAAATAAACTCTTCATTATGGTAAACAATGATAGCGATGAGCATATATCATGAGGTGTATAAAAGACCACATCCCACCGGTGGGCGTAGCTCAACTGGTAGCGAGGGAGTGCCACAAGAGTTAGGTCCCAGGTTCGAATCTCGGCAACTGCGAGTCTGCAATGAAAGGTTACTGTGCTAAAAATGCATGGGGCCTCTGCAAGTACCGGGGACGGAGCCCTGCTCTCTATATGTCAGATTGTGATTATAGTCCAATTTACATCCTCTCATCGTGTCGTCTGATCGGTGTTGGGGGGCCCTCAGGGATGGGGTGTCATCCTTATAAAAGACCACATCCCCACCTTAATAGCTCTAGTTTTCATCTCCCATGCATCCTTTGTGTTGTTTGACTATTGTATAAGAGATAACATCCCAACCATTTTCACGGCTGAATAACTTGGAATGCAACTCTGTATTTATAGCCAATTTCCAACCCTTAACCTTTGCTAAGTATAATACATTGAATTTGGCATGTAGGTTGAGAAGCATGGAACTACCTCAGCAGATGTGACTCAACAATAGGCTCAACTTGCAGCATGGGCAGAGTACCAAATCGATTGCTATTTGGGAGCGCACACACAAATTAATTGATAATACTGTAGATACACTCTGCAGCGTCCCAACTCCTTTTTTATCAACGGTGGCCACCTCTATTTGCTGCTGTGAGAGTGCAAAATGCTAAGCGGGAGCTGGCTTGAGAGACATGCGAACACAGTTAGAAATTTTATAGGCCAACAATGATAGGGCAAAATAATAACACATACCATCCACTGTTGACCACCCACTTCGGTTCAGGCAGAATGTACCGTGCAATGTTTGCCAACCCCTTACAGCCAATCAAACCCAAGCATGCACAATAACTAATCAACAGTAGTCACCACCCTTTTCATCCAATTGGCACCTCAATTCTGACCAATAGAAAACTGTCTTTCAAAATACTACCTTTTGGACGTAACACTAATATCTTCCCATTTCTAAATCTTCACATCATACTTTCAATAATTTTAAAAATAATACATTATTACACCTACTTTTTTTAGATTTATCCTTCATTCCATCACATTATTTCACTATCTTCCCATCATACCCCTAATAATATATATCTCCTTTCACTATTCTTAATCTACCTACTTTTCAAATGGGAACATCCCAATGTTAACACACACAATTGAGGTAGTACGTTGCAATAAGCTGCCCAAGAATGTAAAATAGGAACACACACATAATAATTGGCTTACACCTGACGTTAGACGCTTTTGGGCGGCAAACACATGCCTAGAATTCTTTTCCTTTTAAATTAAGGTAGATATATGACCATTTTAGGATGTTTTTACTTGGATTGTAATTTGCTGGTCTGATCTGGTCTGGTCTGGTCTGAACTGGTCTGGTCTGGTCTGGTAAGGTTTGGTTTCTTTGTATTTTTATAACTATCCAAGTCTGGTTTGGTCTGTTCTGATCTGAACTGATCTGGACTGGTCTGGTCTGGGGCAAATTATAAAAACATCCTTACTTGCAAAAAAATACATTCATCCAAACATCAACAACAAGGCACGGCACCTCTATCATTCATTCATCTAAAAATGGTACTGCCATTATTATCCAAGATCACAAATATAGTACGACTTTCAAGAACACCCATCAATTGTGGACCTCACCTGCCCAACACGCCCAAAACAAAACCTAGTGATTCTAAATTTTACATTACATCAAAGACCCATCAAACGATTCAACCTCCCCCATATAATCCATTGTGATGTACGGCACCAATTACCTACAAGGAAACATGATACGAGTACTTTTCTATGGAAAAGTGATGAAAAAAATTGGAACCTTTTTTCTTCCTTGTTTCTTTCTTTTTACTCTTCATTTACGATCTAGTTTCAATTTTACATTGAAAGCCGTTTTTTATTCCCTTAATAATGTCAAACTAAACAAGGTAATGTCCTAATGGCGATCGAGTGATGTTAGATTAGAGAACTAAACTTTAATCAAAGATAAGATAGAACAAATCACGTTACGTCATAAGCTACATGAAAGCTATAAAGTCAATGAGTAATAGATGAAAAAAGTATTGATATATGGGTAAGGTTTACTAAACTAGTTGCTTAATAAACTATTAAAAGCTCTCATGCTATATATTTTGCATATTTATAATCTGGGTCAAACTTAAAAGGGGACCTTTTAAATATTTTACTTTATTGATTACAAATTACAATATGTTATGAAGCAATCAAAGGAAGCTGCTTTTGAAACTCATTGATGTCCTTGTATCTGTACAGTGGCGGACACACATGGGGGCTATGGGTGGCTGCCGCTCCTCCGCCGAAAAAAAAATCTAGTTATATTTACCCCGAAATTTTTAATGTATATGTATTTGTATGTATATATTCTTGTACTGCCGCCTCTGCTATCGGCAAATCATGCGTCCGCCGCTGTATCTGTATGTGCGGCTGTTGAAATAACTGACCGCATCCATTGCTCTAAAATAATACTCCCATGCACAACTTTTCTTTTTCGTCCGTCTCAATTAAAACTTCTGTTTTCCCTTTTTGGTCAGAATTTGTGGTTCACACCAATTCTCTCTTCTGCACAACTTTCCATCACACAATACCCACTATCTTAAACTGTGTGTCAAATCTATTTGGAAGTTTAATAAGGGAATGAGGGAGTACTCTAAATTAATACGTAAGATAGGCAGATAGCTGTACTTGTGCCCGCAAATTATACCGTGGGATCGGCCCACCGTGAGCAAGGTGTGCCGATCCCAAAACGACACCGCTTTATCAATTAAAATAACAGATCAATCTTGAGCTGCGACTGGAGCCACCGACTGGAGCCACTTCAATCTGCAAAAGCTCTTCAATCTAGAGCCACCGACTGGAACAACGATTGAGAAATTCCTCTATCTTTCTTGTCGGCAACCGACTGGAGCAACGATTGACAAATCTTCAAACCTTCTTCAAATTTCTTTTCCGACTCAACTAAGTAAATAAACTTTAAAACTAAAGCATCACCCTTTAATCTGCTAACATGTCACCCTTTTAATCTGTTGAATATCTAACGATGTCGATCGATGGAATTAGTTGGTGTATATATACGTATGTATATATGTGTGTAATATATGAAATTGCATTTTTTTTATACTCGAGTTACATCTTCTAAAGCGTGAGTTACATCTTCTGAAGCGCGAGTTAGATTTGGACTTGCCTCAACGAGTAACATTTTGTATACACCTAAGTTACATTTGACATCAATGCGAGTTACATTTGTAATAACATGAGTTACATCAAAAAATAAACCTCTACTATTGAAACAAAAAAATAATTTTTTTGCACCCTTTTAATGGTCATGATATTAAAAATAAAACATATTCACTATTTACGTAAAGTAATTGAGCAATTAGACTCCTTGTTTTCATTGTTTACATTGAAATCAATTTTGTATTCTTTATACTCCGTATTACACAAGTTACATTTCGATTTGCCTGAAGTTACACTTTTCTCAACGTGAGTTACATTTTTTTACACGTGAGTTACATCACTCTGCTGCTGGACAAGGAAAAAAACAAAACAAAAAAGTTACTGTTCAAGTGCGTGAACAGTAACACGCGAATTTGCCTTTGGGAGCACCATGCTCACCATGGATTGCTCCCACGGTATAACAACTCGTACTTGTGTGGTCAAAATACTACTCGTGATATTTTTGTTCATTGAATCCCTTTCTAGCTTTGAATAAACGTCTTTTAAAAAATATGAATTTCTTCTTTGATTTCTCAAAATGACGTTTTTTAGAAATAAATAAATATTGACACTTTTTCATGAATATTACTAAATTAAACCCAAAAAATAAAAATACTCCGTATGATTTATTTTAAAAAATTTCAAAGAATTGACGTATCCAAATATTAATTCTCAATGACTCATCATCTACCCGTGACTTGTCATTCTGAAATACACTATATTGACTTTTGTTACTCATACAAAGTGAGTAGTCATGTTTTATCCAAAAACATAACTAATCATATTTTTATTCGGGAAAATTTTGTTAGCAATATACATGTCATTTTTTCATTGCTATAAAGTTTACATAATTAATAATTGAATAGATTGATTAAAAAAATATTTAATAAATACCCAGAGTAAAAAAAGATTTTATTTAGAGATGAAAAGAAGTAAATGAAAGTGTTTTAAGTATGAATAGTATTCAATTTTCATTCCAAATTTCCAAGGGAGGGACTTTTTTTTATCAAAATGATAAGGAAATATTTGTTTTTTTAAAAACTCGTGTGATGAGATAATTTGGATGATAATGTACACGGGATGCTTTTTCCATTTAGAGATATTACCCGAAATAGGACTAAAAAGGTTTGAAAATTTCAAAATAGAACTGACATGTTTCTATTCCCAAAACAGGACTAATTGGTGTCATGTTTTGGCAGAACCAGACTTCAAACATGACATTATTTTCCAGACTTGACAATAATTACTCCTATTTTGGGAATAAAAAACATGTCAGTCTTATTTTGGAATTATCAAACTATTTTAGTTCTATTTCGGGAACTTTCCCTTTTATTTACAAGAAAAAAGTCAACGAGACCAACACAAATACTCCGTACTCTCAAGTTTGCAGCGTTACAAACGTGGGCACATTAATGAAAAAAACACAGCGCGAAGATTCGAACAACTGACAACGACCTCCCTCCGACGTTCCCATGTGAAGTGCTTCCACCACAAAGCGGATCATCATCATCATCATCATCATTTCCAAGTCTGTTATTCTTCACTCTCATCTCCTTCTTTGCAACAAAATGGGATTTTGAAATCTGGGGTGAGCTCAAGATGAAAACTTTAGTAGCTGAGTAGAAATTTTCATATTTTTATAATAAACCCAGAAGCCGGAATACTTAATTTGTTCATAATTCTATTCCGAATTTGCTTTGCTGTTGTGTTGCGTGATTAGATGGATTTCCCAGCTGGACCCCACTTGAGGGAGAGTCTTTTGTCTATTGCTCGGCCATGAAAAAAAAATCATATGTTCTCTTGAATTTGCTGAGTAATTATTCATATAAGGACAAACTTTCCTTTCATCCAATTTTATTGATATAATTATACGGAGCATGTAATAGCTGCTTGTATAATAAATTCAAAATAAATTTTGCTTCTCTGTCTAGTTAAAGATTTGTACACCAGAGCAAAGGAATCAGCTTTTCTAAGAAGGATGGAGATGGATGGAGAATCCAGTGAAACTAAAGGAGAGATGTGGGCTTTGGAGCAAAAGCTTGATCAACCCATGGATGAGGAGGCTGGGAAGCTGAAATTCAGGCACGCTGAAAAGGTTAAACCATTAATCCAATAGTTTATTTCATCTTTATCCAACACTCATTTTCACTTTTTATACTTGACTTTTTTAGGTTGAAGCTATGACTTTCCTTACACTTTCAGCTTCCCTAATACTAAATTATTAATCTATCCACTTTTGCTTCAAACTTTCGGCTAATCTTCCACAGAGAAGTGATCAAAGGAAAAAAATTGAAAGAAACTCGTAGTTGTGGACAAAAAGTGTGAAAAATGAGTCAGTAGCCCCAAGTAAAAACGAACTAGTAGTCCTGCAGGAAAAAAGTGCACTACTTTCAGTCAGTTCTGTTATTTGCAAGTAGTATGCAACAGAGTACTGTATATCATACTCCGTAGGTTATTAGTGGGAAGTGCATATTAAATTGAATGCTTAGGTCAGTTTTTTTTGTTTCTTGATGTATTTTATTTATCTGTGGTTAGGCTGGCCAAGTAAGTACAGAATTAGTCAGAAATAACTTTATGTTTCTTGGGTAGGTTTAAACTTTAAAGCTTATATTTTTAAGGCAATTCATTCCACTAGATCAAATCTAATACTAGTAAATGTTGACAGAAAATTACTTTATCTGTCTACTTTGACTTTGGCCTGACGCCCTGACAGGTTAACACCAAACAGACAAACAGTTATGGTACCATTCAGTAGTTCTTTTGAGCAACTTGACGGCACTTGTTATTTCTATGCTGATTTTCTTCATTTTTATTGGCAGAAATTCTCATTGATTTTGCTATTAAGACTGGCATTTCAGAGCTTGGGAGTAGTGTATGGGGACTTGGGGACATCCCCCTTATATGTTTTCTACAACACATTTCCCCATGGAGTTGAAGACACTGAGGATATTATTGGGGCACTTTCATTGATCATATACTCACTCACTCTTATACCACTTCTCAAATATGTTTTCATCGTGTGCAGAGCAAGTGACAATGGCCAAGGTAAGCTGCTCCTAGGGTTCCTGCATTCACTAAGTGGTTATCGTGTTGTGATTAAACCAGCTCACATGTAGAAATTTACAAAATAACAAACCAATATACAAGACTGGATTATTCTGTCCTATAAGGATGTTGACATTGTATGATGAAATCAGACTTCTTAATATGATGCCACAAATCCAACATCTCGGGAGAAATGTAAGAGTGTCTGTTATAATCTCACACTGAATAAGTAAAGAAAAAATGATGGGTTAATAGGAGGTTGATTTGAACGAGCTAATAGACCTTCATTGAATAATTTAATACGGTTTGACTCAAATGCCTTGTGACTAAGTTGAGTCCGCTATCTCTGTACTATCTTGAGAGGTTAAAGACAAATTTATTGCTATAGATATCCTTAATTTAGACTAACTAATCGATTGGATTCAGTCATTTAGTTTGGTTTGGTTTGGTTAGGTGCATTGTGGCCCAATTGAACGACTACTGTCCAATCCTCAACTACATAAGTTGTAATGAGTCCTTACAGTTACTTACCAGTGAAGCTTATGTGTTGTTTTATTTACTGTTTAGGTGGAACCTTTGCTCTGTACTCATTACTCTGTCGACATGCAAAGGTAAAAACAATCCCGAACCAACACCGGACAGATGAAGAGCTAACCACGTATAGCCGTAGCACATTTCATGAACATTCATCTGCTGCAAAAACAAAGAGATGGCTGGAGGCATATGCATTCAGAAAGAATGCACTTCTTATTCTTGTCCTTGTGGGAACTTGCATGGTAATTGGGGATGGCATCCTTACTCCAGCTATATCAGGTATTTATATTGCAATGGTTTCTATTAGAATTCATAAATGGATTGGTGTTACTTTATGCTTTATTCGGGGCCGCTAGGTAGTGTTCGTCTAGTCGGAGCTAAGTACTTGGGCCTCAAATGTCCCGGGCCTGTTTAGATACCATAATATTCAGGGTTTAATTAGTCACTCAATACTCATACCCATAAGTCAAATCCAATTTATTAGTTAGTTCGACCCAAAGTCTTACTGACCTGTGACTTTTTTTACTTGTCTGTTGTGGGATTATAACACTTATTACTGATTTGAGATGCTTTCAACAGTACTTTCGGCTTCAGGTGGGATCAAGGTGGTCCGTCCAGCATTGAGTAGTGGTACTACCCTCAGTTCAAGAGATTTCAGAAGCTATACATTGTTTCTTTACTTTCTTTAAAAAAAAATTGTTTCTTTACTTGTCTATTATCAGCTTATTATTGCAAGTTACTTACATAATCTTGTTTTTGTAATCGGTCATATCCACAGATGTAGTTGTGCTTGTAGCAGTATTTATACTAGTTGGGTTGTTTAGCATGCAACACTATGGTACTGACAAGGTTGGGTGGCTCTTTGCCCCAATAGTACTTCTCTGGTTTCTACTAATAGGGGGTATAGGCATTTACAACATCTGGAAATACGATATCTCAGTTCTGAAGGCCTTTTCTCCTGTATACATATATCGGTATTTTAGGAGGAGAGGGAAAGATGGATGGATATCACTTGGAGGAATAATGTTAAGCATTACAGGTTTAATTACTTATATTACCTTTTTTATTCTGTTTGATCTTTAATAAATTTAAAGCATCTTGGCCTAATAGTTCCTTGCTTGACCACACAATGTTGGCAGGAACGGAGGCACTTTTTGCTGATCTTTCTCATTTTCCTCTAGCTGCAGTCCAGCTTGCATTTACCATTATTGTTTTTCCTTGCCTTCTTTTGGCCTACTGTGGCCAAGCCGCCTACCTCACACAAAATAAAGAGCATGTCATCTATGCATTCTATCGTTCTATTCCAGGTTTGTAATATTGAAATCTGAAAAGATTCTTAACTGAGTCAGTATCACCTAACGAAGTCATAATCCACATAATCTGAAAAAATAATTTCAACTTTTATCATACAAAAAAGAAAAGTACAACACAGGCTCAAAGAGACACTCACCTTCTTCTTTTCTGCAGACAGGATATATTGGCCGGTCTTTATTGTGGCCACTCTTGCTGCCATTGTTGCAAGTCAAGCCGTTATATCTGCTACATTTTCAATCATCAAGCAGGCGTTAGCACTAGGCTGTTTTCCAAGAGTTAAGGTTGTACATACATCTAAGAAGTTCCTCGGACAGGTGTACATCCCAGATATCAATTGGATCTTAATGCTTCTTTGCATAGCTGTCACAGCTGGATTCAGAAACCAGAGTCAAATCGGCAACGCTTACGGTGAGTTAGTAGTTAGTTAGCCCATAAATGAATGAAATATGAGGATTACATTAATGAAATAAATTTCAATTACAATTCAGATTATCTTGTTCTTGGGATATTACTTTAGTTTTGCCACAATGAAATTGAGGCGGATAAAAACTAATTCCTATATAACCAATGCTCTTCCACCACAACAGGCACAGCGGTGGTTATAGTCATGCTGGTCACCACGCTTCTCATGGTCCTGATAATGTTGCTAGTTTGGCACTGTCATTGGATCATCGTTGTCATCTTCACCGTACTATCGCTCATGGTGGAATGCACTTACTTCTCGGCGGTCCTTTTCAAGGTCGATCAGGGAGGATGGGTCCCGCTTGTGACTGCTGCAGCGTTTCTCGTGATCATGTATGTTTGGCATTACGGGACGGTGAAGAGGTATGAGTTCGAGATGCACAGCAAGGTGTCGATGGCGTGGATTCTCGGGTTGGGCCCCAGTTTAGGTCTGGTACGAGTTCCCGGTATAGGTCTGGTTTACACAGAGTTGGCAAGTGGGGTCCCACACATCTTCTCACACTTGATCACAAACCTTCCCGCCACACACTCAGTGGTGGTGTTTGTGTGTGTGAAGTATCTACCGGTCTATACGGTTCATGAAGAAGAGAGGTTCCTCGTGAAACGTATAGGGCCAAAGAACTTCCACATGTTCCGATGTGTCGCAAGGTTCGGTTACAAAGATCTCCACAAGAAGGACGACGACTTCGAGAAGAAATTGTTTGACAACCTTTTCATGTTTGTGCGCCTTGAGTCATTGATGGAAGGCTGCTCGGACTCTGATGAGTGTGGACAAAATGCCTTGTTGGATGCGTATTCGAGCACGGACCCCACAGTATCCTCAGTGAACTCCATAGTGGCAGTAGAGTCAATAAGCAGCCAGACAGAGATCGTCAATGAGCTGGAGTTCTTGACTGCGGCTAGAGATGCCGGGGTGGTACACATACTTGGGAACACAATGGTGAGAGCTGGGAGAGATTCTAGGTTCTATAAGAAAATTGCCATTGACTATGTATATGCCTTTCTTAGGAAAATATGCAGGGAAAACAGTGCAATATTCAATTTGCCTCATGAGAGTCTCTTGAATGTTGGACAGATTATCCAAGTGTAACTGCTTGTCCCCCTTGATAAGAAAATTCCCTTCTAGCGTGTTTGACATTGAATTTTGCTTCTTTAAAATCGGAAATTCTTTGTTGTGTCATGTATGTACAAGAATGTGATTTGTTAGTGTTTGCATTGGCATTGATTCGACTATACTACGTATGAAATAAAGAAAGCAGTGCATCACACATGTTTATAAGTTTATTTATGTTTGTATCTAACTATCTATATTTAGTAAGGATTTAATAAGGACTAAATAAAAACATAAAAAGTAGATGCTTGTATCTTCAAAAAAGTATAAGAAGTACACGCTTTGGTGACACTACTGTAACACTGGGGCATTCCTCAGTGGTGTCACTTTGATAAGTACTCAATTAATTTTAGTATATACAAAAGGAAGAGAAAAAGTAAGTCATTTTCTCACCCCTAAAAACAGGTCAAAAATTAGTAAAAACTTAAAAAGGAGTCAAGCGTAAAGCAACCATCTTATTATTATGGAGTATTGTTTAATGCTAATTGTTATTGAGTTTTTCAGATATGTTGATTGAATTCAATATCCGTTCCAGTTGTGACAGCTTTCTTATATTTGATTTTTTTTTTATTTTTTTATTTTGTTTAACAATGAAAGCAACCGTCTTCAATTAAACTGAAAATATTTGACGGCTGATATCGGCGAAAATATTTGGCGGCTGATATCGGCGAAAATATTTGGCGGCTGATATCGGCTCAAGTCTTCAAGGTTGGCTTCTAAAATCTCTTTAGGCTTTCGCGATTCTTATTTGCATCTTTGCTTTGTTCTTTGAGCTTGTTTTTATACACTCTTGAGATATAGCTTTTTCATTTCGATGGAGTCATTTAAGCAGAAATTATTTTTGTGTTTATAACCAGAAATTTTTGTGCAGGTTTTGATTTGATGGCGATTATGGACGAATTTCAATTTAATAAAGTGCAGGTTTCAATGACTAACAACGCTATAAGTCCCTCCTGTTTGTCCAAAAGGTTGAATCCCCAACTAGAGCCGTCAAAACGGGCCGAAACCCGCGGGTTGGCCCGTTTCAACCCACTTATAAGTGGGTTAGGGCTATTATTTTCAGGCCCGATTGTTTTGCGGGCTCAGTGGGTCAACCCTAACGGGTTGCGGGTTAAGCGGGCCAACCCGTACGGGTTGCGGGCCAACCCGCGGGCTGAGGACAAATATCATTTATTCTATGTATTTTTAATTCTATTATGAGAAAATAATTTTAAATAATACCAACTATCTTTGATGAACCAATAATAATACGTACTTTAGAAATAACTTTTATTTATACCAACTATCTGAATGTTAACCAAAAATAAAATAGAGACACTTTTCTACAAGAAATTCAATCATTTAAGATGTCAAAAACTAAGATCAAATCATCAAATAATTGATATTTGAAAATATGATCACTTATTTGATATTTTGATATAAGTTTTTGATGAATTGAATAAATAAATTTTTGGTGAAAATTTGCTATATATCACTTTTGATAGATAATCAAATAGTTGGTATTATTAAAAATTATTTCTCAAGTTGGTATTATTCTTGGTTCATGGAAGATAATTGGTATTATTTAAAGTTATTTTCCCTTCTATATAGGACAACTATATCTTCTATTATACTCTCTTTACTTCTAGTTCTTTCCTCACTTTTAATACTAATGTATTTTGTTCATGATATCCAAATCAGACTAAATAATTTATTTTTAATGTATTCGTTGTTATACTGTTTTATAACATAAAGACTTCTATGCTGTTTTATTCATGATATCCAAATCAGACTAAATAAATGAGAAATTAGGTATTTGCGGTATTTCAGCTTAAGTATACCCACGATGATACATTCAAACATACAACCAAAGGATTTTCAAGCACTATTTTTTTCCTTTTTAATTGTGTTTGGATTTTAATTTAGATATTTAATTGCTATTTCAATTGTGTTTGGATTTTAATTTAGATATTTAATTGTTTTTTTGTTTTGACATTTATGGCCCGCGGGCTGGCCCGCATAACCCGTGGGTTAGGTGGGTCGGGTTAGGGTCATAAAAATTCTGGCCCGATAGTAAGCGGGTTGGCCCGCCCCGACCCGTGAAACTCATAACCCGCCGCGGGTCGGGGCGGGTCGGGGCGGGTTGGCCCGTTTGACAGCTCTATCCCCAACCCCCAAGGGCCCCCCACGCCACGACCCGACAGAGCACATGAGAGGTTGTCACGGTAACTCAATCAATCCTAACGGTGGTAGACCATATACCGTGTGGACCAGAGGCCCAGCCCAGCACATAGGAGCTGTGACCTCCACACGGTCGCTGCGGGTTTCGACCCTTGGTCATTTGTCCAACTTTCCCACCGCTTCACCAGTTGAGCTACTCGTGCGGGTTTATAAGTCCCTCCTGTAAAACTACAGAAGGATGGAAATCTACTGGAAAAGTGAAATGAAATAAGCAAAAACAATAATCTTTATTGAAGGTACCATCTTCAATATAAAGAGTTATATGATGATATTCAAAATCAACAACCAATATAACTCTTTATATTGTATTTGCATGGGTTGCATAAGTCTTGAGTAGATGTGTGCTCATTGATTGATATTTTTTATGTAAGCTGTGTTCAATGCTCTAGAAAGTAGAAACTATATGTACACTCATTTGTCTCTTTAGGTCTTGAGTGGATGTGTGATCATTGATTCTTCTGTCCAAATATTCTTCTGTACCATAGAGCTATACATAGTCTCAATTCCTGGCAAATGTATGCTTCACACAACATATTCTTCTGTCCAAATGTATGTTTCTCTATAGGGCAATACCCCTTATACCAGTATTGCCCTTGAGTTAATAATTGAACTTGAACATGACATTTTTCAGCATATATCAGTATTGCACTTGAAATCATAATTGTATCTAGCTAGATGACACATATCAGTAAGCAAAGATATTTTGTTTTCCTTTCTCGCATGTATTATTACTCTTCTTTGTCGACATAAATCTTCTTCAAGGGTTTTTGTTCTTAAATTAAGTCTAGAACCAAGTTGCTAATCAATATATATATATATGTATATATATATATATATATATATATATATATATATATATGTATATATATATATATATATATATATATATATATATGTATATATATATATATATATATATAGACACACACACACACATACATATAAGAGGAACTTTTTAACAGCATACGGCGTGCCACATAATCCTATCATGTCATCATATATAACAATTATTTAATTACATTTTATACCTTTTAATTTTTTTATTACATTCTATTTTTTATTGCATATTGATATGGAAACAAAAGATCGTAGGATAGAATCCACCTTATTTGGTAACTTTTTCAAAATCTATTACTTACTCCGTATTAATATGGATAGTTATTAAAATAAGCAATTGCAACCACAACAATAAATACCCATCCGTACACATAGAATTTATTTTACTCCTATTTAATTATTTTTATTACATTCTATTAAGAAGTGAATTGTCCGTGTTTTTCCCACCAAACAGATAAATCGTCCAAATTCCTATTAATTTTGTTCTTCAAAGTTACTTTATAAAAAAAGTAATAATAGTTTTCTATTTCCTAAAATGTAATATTTTATTTTTCTAAACTCAATTTTTTTTAAGTTTTCTAAACTCAATTTTTTTTAAGTTTTCTAAACTCAATGCAATAATGACTAAAACTATAAGCCTTAGATTTGCAATTGTGTTAATATATATATATACTTCGTATTTTTCAGCATCTTCATACCATTCTTTCTTAGTTGTTGAGATAATGATGGAAATTATAACCACAAGATTTTTTAACTTAAAAATGAAAGTGATATTTACTATTAGACGTTCATATATGAAAGCATTTAAAACTTATGATCAAGAATCTTACCTTTATGAGGATGGAAATGAAAATTCATATCATACATATGAATACCTTTATGTATATACGTATACGTAATATGTAGCATATTTTATTTTACGTTTTCATAATTTGGGAGATTCCATCAATTTAGCTCAATCAGTTAGATTTAATTCATTAGAGTAGAGTCGGCCAATTTTAGTATTATCAAATGGCTTTATATTAGATCGGGTTTATTTTTCTTTTGCATCACATTAAATTATATATGATTCCGAAAATATCAAATTTACAACTAGCTAAATTATGCACTGTCTGTGCATCGCATGGACTTGAAAACTAGTGCTCTAGAAACAAAATATATACACATTTGTCTCCTTACGTCTTGAGTAATTGTGTGATCATTGATTGGTGTTTTTTATGTAGACTGTTTCCAATGCTATTATTTATATACTTTAGTGACTATTCAATGTTGAAGACATGAGTTTTTCGTAAATAAGTATAGAAGTCAAGCGGCAATGCAAATGTGTTTTTGATTGTCGAACCCAATATTTATTCTTTTTCTTTTCTATTCTAAATCTCTACATTTGTTTTCCAAATGTGTTTTCTTTAATTTTGTAGCACAAGAGTATTAAATGTTGTCAAATATCTTTGTTCTAAAAATCGTTCTAGGCGTCCGACTAGTCCCTGCCTAGGCGCTAGGCGGTGGCCTGACTAATTAATTTTCCGTCTAGGTGAATTAGTTGGCTACTTATGGCGTCTAGTTGCCCGCCTAGAGCGCCTAATCAACCGCCTAGGCCGTCTAGATTCACTGAACATTACTTTACTTTTTAATTTTAATTTTCTAAGCCATATACGTACTTTAGCTTTAGCAATGGATATAAAGAAATGGAGTTGTAAATTAAGATAAAATGGTATATGTTTGTATATATACCTAAATTTATCATTATTTATATTTATAACATAAGGAAATTAAATGATTAGTTATCATATACTATTTATGATTAAATGTGATAATTCTATCATTCATGTTTGTTAATGTATATGTATATATGTATTTTATACACACAAAAATACAATATTACTTAGCATATTTATGCAAAAATATAGATAAAAATGTCATTTCTATGTCTCCGACTAGTCCCCGCCTAGCCGCCTAGGCGCTAGGCGCTGGTCTAACGCCCGACTAGCGCCTAGCGCCTTTTAGAACATTGTCAAAAATACTCACTTTTTTTTTCTACTCCAGGGGGTCTGGGAGAAGGTGGCTGGGGGAGCCTGGAGTAATAGGGGCTTAAACTCACTCCATTGAGTTTCAACCCCCTATGTGCATAGCGGTTTCGAACTCGAGACCTCTCACTAGGCACGATAACCTCACAACCATCTGAGCTGGAATGCTT